AGGCCTTTGAGAACCGTTCTTTAAAGACAAAAGACCACCAGAAAAGGGTCTCAAAGGCGGGTCTCGAGTTCCTCCACCTGAGGTACTGGATTCGCCGGGTTCAGCTGGAGTGACAGACGGCAAAATATTTAAGAGGCGATAACCACGGTGTTTATTTCTTCTACGGGGGTGTTGTGGTGAAGCGGCGAGAGGAGGTGTGGGGGAGGAAAGGAGGGGGGAATAGAAGGGGTGAGGAGGCAGAAAGAACGAAGGGAAAAGGGAGGAGATGATAGAAAGAACGAGGGGAGGAGAGGGAAAAGTAGCAGATAGAGAAAGGAAGAGAGGGGAATAAAGAAGTGAAGAGACATAAAATAAAAACGAGGGTAGAAGGGGAGGATATGACTGAAAGAATGATGGAAAAGGGGTGAGGAGATAGAAAGAACGAAGGGAGAAGGGGAGATGATAGAAAGAAAGAGTGAAGAAGGGGAAGAGAGGAGAGAAAGAACGAGGGAAGAAGGGGTGAGGACACAGAGAACGAGTGGAAAGAGAACAGAAAAGAAGAAGAAAGGGAAGAGATAATATAAAGAGAGAAGGGGAGAAAGGGAGAGCATAATGAGTAGAGATAGCAAGGAAAAGAAAGATGAGGAGAGAATATTGGAAAAAAAGGATAAAGAGAAGGAAAGACTTATGAACATGGTAGGAAAAAGAGGATTTAGAAAAATAACAAGAAAACATACTAAAGGGAAGAAAACGCAAGGAGAAAAAGGAGAAAGATGGAAAGTAAAATCGAATTGGAAGAAAGGAGAATAGGAGCAAGGGAGAGAGAGAGAGACACGAAAAGGCGAGGAAATGGTCCCTTGCACGCCAGTCATCGAAAGAATTTAGGTGAATTAATTGGTCAAATAAGCGAGTAATTTTATACACGTCAGCGCGTACCCGTCAACTCAAGGCAAAACATCTACAAATTATGAAGATATTTCCTCCCCTAACCCACCAACACACATAAAAAATAGATAATAGATAATAGATAATATTAATCAAAAAAATCATATACATACAAACAGACACACACATACCCATACATATATAGATAGATAGATAGACAGATAGATAAGTAGACAGATAGACAGATAATTCATAAACCATACGAAGGAGAGACAAATTCGATAAAACACATCCCAAATAACCCCTAATTCCTGGGACAACTTGGCACATTAAAACGTAAAATTTGCATACGTTTTTCCCGCCACTCGACACCTCACTACCCCCCCCCTACACCCCCCCCCCCCGTTCCCTCACGCCCTTTTCGCTCGCCCCGTCGCCTCAGATCCACCGCCCAATCTTTAACTACATTCTACAGAGATATATGCACATTCACGCACATAAATACACATTCACGCACACAAATACACATTCACGCACACAAATACACATTCACGCGCACAAATACACATTCACGCACCACATTCACGCACAAATACACATTCACGCACAATACACATTTCACGCACATAAATCACATTCACGCACATAAATCACAATACACATTCACGCACATAATACACATTCACGCACATAAATACACACATAAATCATATTCACGCACACATTCACGCGCACAAATACACATTCACGCACATGCATACACATAAAGACGCATATTCATGTGTAGACATTCACACGCATATTCACATACATGAACATTTACATACATAGACATTCACACATACATACACATTCACACACATACACATTCACACATACATACACATTCACACGTACATCCACATACATACGCAAACACACATGCATACACATTCACACATAGGCCTAACTGCACATGCACACACGTACATCCACATACATACGTAATGATATATATAAAATATATACGATTACCATTAACCTATTATTGCGATACATGGGATTTTTAGGCCTATACCGAAAAGGGGAAAGGGTATGATACCACCAAGACAGTATCATGATGGTGTGATATATAGGCATGCGGGCAATGAATAAAAATCTAGTTAATGGTAAACAAATAAAAAGCGTTATTGGCAACCGGGTCGAGTAATGCTGGAATTATTTTGACATTGGCGATATCTGGATTTTTTTCGGAATTTATTTGGACATTAGGGTAATGATAGCTGGCGCTGATGATAAAATCAATTTATTTTTCGGAATTTGGACTCTAGGAATAAAATCAATTATTTTTCGGAGTTTATTTGGACACTAGTGATAGCTGGAATGATTTTCCAGAATTGGTTTGGCCACTAATGATGGACAATTTTTTCGGAATATATTTGAACTATAGTGATAACAGGAATATTTTTTCGAATGCCTTATCAAAATGGCTATGTACTTTTATAGACACAGGTCTACAGCAGCGTTCTTGCCAATTTTCTAACCATTCCCCGCCCGTATCGATTCTAGATCCGGACTTATATAACATGACAAAGTTCAATCAATTCGAAACCTATTATTATCCTTTAAGACTTTTTGCGCGTGTGTGTAAGCAAGAATACCGACCATTAAGGTTTATCCGTAAATATATTTAAACCGCAGACATGACAATGACGATTCAACACCGCGCATAAGGAGTACTTTAGGTCGTAAATCCGTATCATAAATATTGTTAATCCATGATATTATCAAACAACTGGTGCACCTTTGCTATTGAAGAGATAGCCAGCCTTGCACGCTTGCATTTGCGCTATCGATTGACCACTCAAACGCGCACGCCCGCACACGCACACACACACACACACACACACACACACACACACACACACACACACACACACACACACACACACACACACACACACACACACACACACACACGACCTCAATACAGACACAAATAGTATATGAACGACTATCGTTTATACGACTTCGACCTGTAACGGGGTTGTCTATTGAGATAGGGGCTCGAAGGTGCGGGGCTGAGGAGTGGGGTCGATGGGGGATTGGGGCGTGGAGTGGGCGTGTGGGGAGTGGGGTGAGCCGTGAGATTTCGCAACCCTGTCACCTATTATGGTTACTTTGCAATAACCCATGTAGATTTTTTTTTCATGTGGATATTTTTTTATGTGATTCTTTTCATGAAGGAAAATAAGAATATTTCGTTGTCGTACTCAGATTCAACGCTTTTTCTGTCTGTCTGTCTCTCTCTCTCTTTCTTCATTCTCTTTTTTTTTCTCTCTCTCTCTCTTCTCTCTCTCTCTCTCTCTCTCTCTCTCTCTCTCTCTCTCTCTCTCTCTCTCTCTCTTTCTCTCTCTTTCATCTCTCTCTCTCTCTCTCTCTCTCTCTATCTAAAAACACAACTGTCTGAAATAAATCTTTGGAAAGCACACGCCCACCTCCATTACATCGAAAATCGATTCTCCGCCCACCCAATAGACACGAGTCACACAACACGCGCTTCCATTTCATACCCAACCTATCTAAACGACACCGCAGCCTAAGGCAAAAACGTCCGCAAAACACTGAACACGGGGACAAACAGACAAATAGCCCAGCATGAATAATTACCACGGGATGCGAACCTCTTCATTTGCATTTCAAAGGTGGATCGAACTCCTTACATCATCACAGCCGTCAAATCAAACCATCAGCTGATCGAAAGGGATGATATGGTGTCCGTCTTTAACCGCACAATACGGTGGGAGGAATTATTAAGCTGATCGTATCTGTTTAACAAAGATGTTGGCTTCCTTAAACCTGGGCTGGCATGGAGGGAGGGAGGAGAGAGAGGAGAGAGGAGAGAGAGAGGAGAGAGAGAGAGAGAGAGAGAGAGAGAGAGAAGAGAGAGAGAGAGAGAGAGAGAGAGAGAGAGAGAGAGAGAGAGAGAGAGAGAGAGAGAGAGAGAGAGAGAGAGAGAGAGAGAGAGAGAGAAGAGAGAGAGAGAGAGAGAGAGAGAGAGAGGAGAGAGAGAGAGAGAGAGAGAGAGAGAGAACTGAGGATAACCTCATAATGCACAACCACAGATGTAAGCCAACGTGTATATCTGCACGCACGATAAACACACCACGCTTTCTCCAAAACACCGATAAACTACAGTCCATCACGTAGGCCTACACGCATAAACTACCATTTCAACATAAACACCAATCAATATCATTCATTTCACTCCATATCTACCCACACTTCATCAACATCATTCACAGACTATTAACTACGGACAACTTTATTTACACACACAAAAAACCGTCCATTCACATATTCCGTACACTGCGTCAGGTGTTTACATGTATGTTTCTTGACGTCGTGTCTAGTCTAAACAAACTCGATGTGATTCATAAGAACAACAAATATCATAACTTTTACCCTTTATCATCAAAGTATACAACCCACTATTATCATCGGATTCACGATCATCAAAAACGTTTTACAAATAAATATTTTTTTGAGACAACACAAAAATACATGTAGTAGCGCACGTAACCACGAGCTTGCAAGGTGAAAACACAGGCCTGCACTTTTTGTACTAACACGTCACGAGAGCAAAAATAGCTACATGTTTATTTTCTATAAACATAAATTATAAAAAGAAATAGCATGTCATGAAATATAAATTGATCTGGAGATAGGGAGAGAGAGAAGGGGAAACAGAAAAAGGAAATGGAGAGAGAGAGAGAGAGAGAGAGAGAGAGAGAGAGAGAGAGAGAGAGAGAGAGAGAGAGAGAGAGAGGAGAGAGAGAGAGAGAGAGAGAGAGAGAGAGATGAGAGAGAGACGAGAGGAGAGAGAGAGAGAGAGAGAGGAGAGAGAGAGAGAGAGAGAGAGAGAGAGAGAGAGAGAGATGCACTAAACGAACAGAGGGAAAATGCAAACTAGATGGCTCCCTGAAACCGGTTCCCATTTCCATTCATTCCATATTCGGCGAGTAAGATTCGAATTCATTTAATTCGCATTAACCGTAGTTGTCATATCCTATTCAAAAACAAATTCTAGGTAAAACAGAGGATTTTATATGTAGTTTCTTTTTCACTATAAACGTCACGGAAATCCATAAACTCAC